ATATGCTAATGAGTAATGCTAATGAGTTCCCCTAGCTCTTTTTCTACGAAATGACCCCTGCCTGCAAGGATGTGGTGCCAGGGATTCCACCCTCCAAAGTTGAATTTTTTTTTTCAGGGGAACTAATATCAGGAGATTTATTGTAATTCCGGGAGAATTCCAGGCCACATCTGTTTTGTTTTTAACAAAACAAAGCAAGACATTTGGGAAGGGAATCTGGTCAGGTGCCAAGATCTCGCCCACCTCTGGCCTTACACAGCTGTATACTTGCAATAGACATAAGACAATGTTCTGGCTTTCGAGACCTTTGTTTTGCAACTAGCAGACAAAATGTGCTCATTGGGGTCACTTGAGGGTCACCCTGTTTGGCTCCTTGAGATAACAGATGGTTGGAGTTCTGCTGCAACAGCAGGGTAGGCCTCGCCCTCTTCCACAGAAATGAACTAGAACACCAGTGCTCAACTATATCTGAAACATTATCTCATGGTTGCATTCAACACTGGGTGAGCCCAGCTCCTTGAGTGGTGGCAGGAGAAACCTTGTTTTAGCAATGGCCATTGCGTTGCCCAAATGGGCTCATTGCCTGGTGTGCTAAAGCCCAATAATGAACACAGCCAGTTGGGGTTTTAAAAGCAGACAGAAGATTTATTGCAGTAAACGGAGACTCTCGGGATAGCAGAAAGATTTTTAAGAAGTCCGCCTTTTTGGTTAACATGAGCTGTTTTATACCATGAAAGAAGCAGTTTTCAGGCATGCGCAGATGCCTTTGTTACATCATAGTTGTTTGAGTTCCTATATACCTATTTAAGGTTTATCATAACTAAGAAGAAGAAGAGTTGGATTTATAGCCCGCCCTTCACTCGGAGTCTCAGAGCAGCTTACAATCTCCTTCCCTTCCTCTCCCCCCACAACAGACACCCTGTGAGGTAGGTGGGGCTGAGAGAGCTCTTTTGAGAACTGCTCGTGAGAGCTCTGAGAGAACTTGTGACTGACCCAAGGTCACCCAGCTGGCTGCATGTGAAGGAGGGGAAATCAAAACTGGTTCTCCAGATTAGAGTCCGCCACTCTTAACCACTACCCCAAACTGACAGACATTTCACCATAAAAGTGGTTTTGAACTTTACATCATAGTCATTTGATTTCCTGTATACATATATAAGGTTTATCATAGCTAAGCAGGTGCATTAGACAGATATTTTGCCATACAAGTGCTTTTGACCTTTACATCATAGGACCTTTACATCATCGCATGACCGTCGCTTCTGGGGAAAACCCAGCAGTATTAGTTCTTTCTAGGAATCAATGGAAACATAGGCCTTTACCAGCTATTCCTAGAGATGTGTGATGTCACTTCCAGGTTCTTACAGAAGTGACATCATATTGATAGCTGCCGCCCATGTCCCGGCCCCCAGGACTCCCCCAGTTGCCTGGTAACCCTAATTCAACATCCAATCCTGCTTAATTTTTAGTAACCGGGATAAAGAGAAACTTGCTGGCCAATGGTCTATCACGTTTAGCATTTTGTGTCCCAGACAGAGGTCATTTCGGGGGGGATCGCGGGGGATCGCAGTTCCCCCAGGTGAGGTACGGGGGGCGGGGCACATGACGAAGCCCCGCCCCCCACTTCCGGCCGCCCCGCTTCCGGCCCTCATTCAGCCAGGAGGCAGGAGAAGAGGGAGGGTAAGTTGCTTCCTCCCTGCCTCTCCCCACCCCTGCCTGCCTGGGGCCAGGGAGGGCCTTTGCGGGGCTTCCTTGCACTCCCACCGGCCTTGCAGGTCCACCGCCAGGCCTCTCATGGGGCTCGGCAGTGGAGCTGCAAGGCCGGCAGCCAGGACCGTTGGGGGCGGGGTGTGTGGCCTTATGACATTCGTCCGGTGATGTCAGGGGGTGTGGCCTTATGACACACTTCTGGTGATGTTAGGGGGTGTGGCATATGCTAATGAGTTATGCTAATGAGTTCCCCTAGCTCTTTTTCTATTAAACGACCCCAGGTCCCAGAGTGGCCTTAGAGATGCTACCCACAAACCCACAGGATATGAATGAATTCACCAGCACTTTCTGAACACTGGCTGCTGTTACTCTGTCGTGTACTGGTTCTGTGCATGGAAGATCCATTTAGCTACCATAGCCTAGTAGCTGAAATGTTTAGTACCAATTAGTCTTGCGACTATGCTCAAAAGTAGCAACTTGACGGGTCACCGGTGGTAAAATTGAAGCTGGGTGACTAACCAGAGAAGCTTCTGGAAGAGGGGTTTTGCTATTGTTTCTATACAGGTTTAACTAATATAAGCATACATAATCACGTGGGTTAGGGTTGCCAACTCTGGGCTGGAATATTTCTGGAGATTTGGGGGTGGAGCCTTGAGAGGGCAGGGTTTAGGAGGGGAGGGGTTTCAGGGGGTTATAATGCCACCTCCAAAGCAACCATTTTCTCCAGGGAAACTGATCTGTTGTCTGGGGAGCAGCTGTAATTTTGGGAGACCTCCAAGCCCGACCTGGAGGTTGGCAACTAGGGTTGCCACCTTTGGGTTGGAAAATACCTGGAGATTTTGAGGGTGGAGCCTGGGGAGAGCAGGATTTGGGGGAGAAGCTCAGTAGGGATACCTCTATGAAGTCCACCCTCCGAAGCAGCCATTGTCTCCAGGGGAACTTATCTTGGTTGTCTGGAGATAAACCCTGATAGTGGGAGATCTCCAGGTTTCACCTGGAGGTTGGCAACCCTATGGTAGACTAGTATTTTTCTTTTTAGGTTGGCACTGGTATTTCTGGCCACTGTGTGATACAGAGCGTTGGACTGGATGGGCCTTTGGCCTGATCCAACATCGGCGTCTCTGATGTTCTTATGATTTTTGTGGGTTTATTTGCAAGACTGGATCTTCACACCGTCCCGTTATCGTAGCCTAGCCTTGACTATCACGTCACCCTTGATTTCATACTGCAGGTTCTTCCACCCCAGAGTACAGCTGGGAAGCTGAAAATCCTGGTAGGCTGACCTCATCTTATGAGGTGAAAGAAGGAAGTCCCACATATAGACATCAGCCAGTTCTCCCGAGAAGGAGTTGTACGAGTCGGCTGAACCCCCGTAATGGTCTTGCTCTTGGCCTAAGAGGATAAACGCTTCTGCGGGAACCGTGTGACCTTTCTTCAGCCCCTTCCGCGGCCAGGGCTTCCCGTTCATCCAAAATTCGACAGTCCCCGTGGCTGATTCCCAGGCAACGCAGACGTGTTCCCAGATTAGGGGATCCTCTGGGACTCTGAAGAATACATATTCTCCCCCCACAAAGACTCGGTATTCTCCCGGCTTGGGCTTGAAAATGAGGATCTCGTTGTCCTCGGAATGTGTGGCGTAAGAGAAGAGGCCGTAGGGCCGAGTCAGGTCCGTGTAGGATCGCAGGCAAACGGTGAAATTCTGCAGTGGTTCTTTCGGCTGGGGCTTAAGGACGACGTAGTCTTCGCTGGGCTCGTTGCGGAAAAGAAAGACCTTTCTAGACAAGTCTGCGAGAAGAGACAGAGAGACGGGGTTGCCACCATTTCTATCCTGGCAAGGTTCTTGAGCATTTTTTAATTACATCTCGAGTTGTCAGCACCGGGTTGGGGATAGGGTCGTCAGGTCTGGGTTGCAAAATACCTGGAGACTTTGGGGATGGATCTGGGAGAGGGTGGGGTTTGGGAAGGGGAGGGGCCTCAGCATGGTGCCATGCCACAGAGTCCACCCTTCAAAGCAGCCTTCTCCAGGGTTGTATAAATATATAACGGTAATGCAGTGAAAGCAAGTTTGATACAAAATCACAGCACCAAGGCTGTAGCACTGTGTAAAAAATACAGATGGACATGTAAAGTCTTAAAAATAATCTATTTCAAAGTTTATAAACAACTAACATTTAATGCTTTCGTACATATTCAAATATGGTCCACATGGGACTCCTTAAACAGCTTAAATACATTAGAATACAGCCAAACTCTCTTTGTGAACAGTCAAGGTCTTCTTGTGGCTAATAGATTCATACACATATTCAATATGGTCCAATATGAATGTATTAAATGTTAGTTGTTTATAAACTTGGGTCTTTACATGCCCATCTGTATTTTTTACACCGTGCTACAGCCTTAGTGCTGTCATTTTGTACCAATTTTTCTCCAGGGTAGCTGATCTCTGTCAGCTGGAGATCAGTTGTAAAAGTGGGAGATCTCCAGGCCCCACCTGGAGGCTGGCAACCCTAGTTGGGAAATTCCTGGAGATTTTTTTTGGGGGGTGAAGCCTCAGGAGGGTGGGGATTGGGTTAGGGGAGGGGAGAGACCTCGGCAGGGATGTGGTGCCAGTGAGTGCACCCTGATCCAGATTCACTTTGGGACATATTCTGAATGATCTGGGGTCTGGTCCAATGCGGATCCATGTACACAGGGGTTATTTCGTAGAAAAAGAGGTGCAGGAGCTCATTAGCATAACTCATTAGCATAACTTATTTGCATGTGCCACACCCCCTGACATCACCGGAAGTGTGTCAGAAGAAGGCAACACCCACTGCTCAGGTGCCACTGGACTGTTTTGGATTGCTAGCTATTGGGGCGGGGGGGAACATGCATATCTGTCCTCGCAGAGGAGGGAGAGCTTGTACCTGAATAAAACTTAGTCTTAAAGGTGCCACTGGACTGTTTTGGATTGCTAGCTATGGGGGGGGTATCTGCCCTCACAGAGGAGGGAGCTTGTACCTGAAGGTGGGCAGGGGGGGGGGCTCTGCAATTTACCTGGCTGCTTCTTCTTCCCCGTGGCCCAACTGAGGGCTGCTGGGAGCAGGGGTGGGGATTGTTGCATGTGCCCGCCCCCCTGGGCTCCTTACTGCCGGAGCGCCACTCCTGTGCGCTCCCGCAGGAAATGACCCCTGCATGTACACTGGGCTCCCAAAGTATTGCACATTCTAGTTAGTGGGATATGAAAAGCTAGGCCAACTCCCAAATCCAGTTTGGGAAACTCCTGGAGGTTTGGGGTAGACCCTGGGGAGGGAAGAGGCCAAGGAGGAGAGGGATCCCAGCAGGGTATGGTTCCATAGAGTTTGCCCACAGAAGCTCCCTTTTCCTCTAACTGATCTCTGGACACCAGTTGTCATTCCCAGAGATCTCCAGAGTCCACCTGGAAGTTGGCAACCTGGGTTTCATAACTAGCAGACATTCATTAGGTGAAGTGTTTCTATGTCTGTGCTGGGGAAAGAATCTGAGCCTGTTGCAAGAATTCAGTGCAGGTGGGGGCCCCCATGACAGGGCAAACAACACCCCCGATGCCATTCTGGCTCTGGAAAACTGCATGGGATTGAAGGCAAGAGCATCACCTCCCGATGAAGAAGAAGAAGAGATTGGATTTATACCCCGCCCTTCACTACCCAAAGGAGCCTCACAGAGCGGTTTACAAACTCCTTTCCCTTTCCCTTCCCACAACAGACACCCTGTGAGGTAGGTGGGGCCGAGAGAGCTCTTGACAGAAACTGCTCTTTTTCAAGGACAGCTCTTATCAGAACTACGGCTTGCCCAAGGTCATCCAGCAGGTGCAAGTGGAGGAGTGGGGAATCAAACCCGGTTCCCCCAGATTAGAGTCCGCGCACTTAACCACTACACCAAACTGGCTCCAAACTGGGCCCCCGCAGTGTTTTTAAATGGCGTTCCCACTGGCAGCTCGGAGTTGCAATGTGACTGTCCATGTAATGTGCAAGTTTGGCTGTAACAATAGCAATTGACTGGACTACCTTTCATGAAGTCGACAAATCCCCTTTCAAAGACCCCTTGAGCCCCTGGTCGGTACCACATTACGTGGAAGCAAATCCCACTAATTGAACTGCACATCTGGTTGGAATCTACCACCCATCCATTTCACTGGTTACCCAAAGGCATTCTAGAGTTTGAGAAGGGGGAAATTAATCCTGTCTAGTTTCTCGCTCCATGCACGCATCTTATAAACCCGCCTTGCATCCATCTCTTCTCTTTCAAAACCCCCAAATTCCCACCCGTTCTGTCTCAAAGATCGAGTTGGGAGGAGTTGGGGCCGAGAGACAGAGCGTCTGCTTTGCCAGATTCATTTCCCCACATCTCCAGTTTAAAGGATCTTCAGTAACAGATACTAGGAGTGATTCTTCTTTGCCTAATGAGATCCTGGAGAGCAACTGCTAGTAGAAGTAGAAAACACTGAGCAAAACAGACGAATGCTGTAAAGCTCCAACATGGTGCCCGTGGACACGATGGTGCCCACCCCCCTATTCCTCCTGGCACACGTCAATCTTTTCAGAAAGTGGCCGAGGCTGCTATTACCTACCGCTCTCATTCAAATGAAACCGTTTCCCATGGCTGCAAGGGCAGCAGCCATTTTGGGGTTGGCTCAGCCTCCTGTGGCAGACATTTTAGAGTGGTGCTTGCCACCCCTGCTCAAACTTCCAGAGGTGTCCACAGGTGCTCAAAAAAGCTGGGGACCCCTGCTATAGCAGCAACTTCATTTGTTCCATTTCCAGTCCTGGTTTGGCGGGTCAGGTCTAGATTTAGGTATCCAGTCCTCGGTTGGCGTAGACAGCGTATCTTTAGCTACTGAAGAAAGTAGGAGGGGTTGGGGTTTTTTAAACCTGTTTAATAAACAAAAGCTATCCGTATATTTCTTTTTCATCCCCTTGTACAGCAACACAGTCAAAAGAGAAGAGCTGCAAATACAGTATGCATGTGGGAGATCCCAGGTTCGATCTCTGGCACCTCTATGTCAACGATCTCAGGTGACAGTTCCTGAGAAAGACCTTTCAATGCCAGTCAGCATAGATAATATACTGAGCTAGATGGCCCCATGGTTGGACTCATATGTTTCACTCTCTCTGCACCACTGATTAACCTTCCTCCCTGCTATCTATCCCCCACACACACTCTGAAGAAGACGAAAGAAGAAGGAGTTGGATTTATACCCCCACCCTTCACTCGGAGTCTCAGATTGGCTTACAATCTCCTTCCCTTCCTCTCCCCACAACAGACACCCTGTGAGGTAGGTGGGGGCCGGGAGAGTTCTGAGAGAACTGCTTGTGAGAGAACAGCTCTGAGAGAACTGTGACTGACCCAAGGTCATTCAGCTGGCTGCATGTGGAGGAGTGGGGAATCAAACCCGGTTCTCCAGATTAGAGTCCGTTGCTCTCAACCGCTACACCAAACTGGCTCTTGAGAGGTCTCCGGAGGTGTTTCTTGCAACCCGTTGAGGGAAACACACAGACAATTGTGCTTCCAAGAGAGAAAATAGCATCTTTGGGTTGCCGTTTTAGGAAGGATAGTGTGAAGCCAGAGGAATTCTAGTTTGGGGAAGCTGCCTGGGGGCAAGGGCTACCCTCTTCTACCAGGCAACAGCTACAACCGCTATTTACCTGTTAAAATCACCTTACAGATCCATTCATGATCCCCTCACATTCCCTCCAGTTTGACTCTCCCTCACAGTGTTAACCAGTACTGCTAAAACCCTTCCAAGCCAACTGCTAAGATGCAGTCAGACGTATCATTTTTCTGAGAAGCCCCATTAATTCAGACCTGCAACCTGCAAGCGCAATGCCTTAATTCCAGAGGAAAATGTACTTTGCACATGTTCAGATAGCCACATCCCGCCACCTCTCAATGTCTGCTATGGACTTGCTAAGACTCCTTGGCCCAGAAAATCATCCTGTGGCTGAACTCCACCTCAAATTTTGCTTCCGGAGCCCCACACCCCCACACCCCTCTGGCCCTCAACCACCTTGAAAAACAAGACAACTCAGCTGCTCACCTTCTTGGGCAGAGACGGCTGAAAGAACAGGCAAGACGAGGAGGAAGGAAACCCACATCTTCAGGGGTCGTGAAGAGAAACGGGCTGGAAGCGGCAGAGAAGCTGGATCGATAGTGGCAAGGCGAAACAGCAGTCTGGTTCTGAAATCGGTAGCACCCCTTTCCCAATAATGAGGCCTTGAGGGTGACAGCTAAATTTATGCCTGCACTGAAATGGGCGGTGATGGAGGGGTGTGTGTGCATGTGGAGGGGGTGGGGATGGAACTTATCATTCTCCTTTGAGAATTTGCAGCTGCTTTGGGGAAGGGGGGGTGGTTACTGCTCCTTAACTCCTTCCTTTACATGGCAAATTCTAGAGCTGAAATTTTCACAAACCTGAAACTTGTCAGGGCTCTTTTTGTAGAAAAAGCCCAGCAGGAACTCATTAGCATAATAGGCCACACCCAACAGCAGGAACTCATTAGCATATTGGGCCACACCTCTGACAGCATGGCTCATTAGCACATTAGGCCGCACCCCCATGTTACCAGAAGTGTGGTTATCCAGCCACACCCACCTTTTGCTTGTTATTCTGTTTACCTTGTTTGTTGTCAAAACCCAGGGCCTTTTTTTGTAGCAGGAACTCCTTTGCATGTTAGGCCACACACCCCTAATTGTAGCCAATCCTAATGAGTTTCTGCTGCTGGGTGTGGCCTATTATGCTAATGAGTTCCTGCTGGGCATGGCCAACTTGGGAGCCAGCCGGAACTCCGTTCCTCTGTGCGTTCCTGCCCAAAAATAGCCCTGGGAAGTATTAAGGGATTCGAATCCAACTCTTTCAGCACAACACGTCCCAGGTTTCCTCAGGGCTGGAAAGGGCTGGAAAGGGCTGGCGGGAGGAGGGGAACCTGGGACACCCCCACAGTCGTTGAATCCTCAGATCACTGGGCCCAGCCGGCGTGGTGTCGTGGTTAGAAGACTGGACTAGGTCCAGGGAGGCCTGGAATCGAATCTCTACTCTGCCACAGGGGATTAAGGCACCTTATGTTGTTCTTCCTCCTCCATTTTATCCTCACAACAACCCTGTGGAGTAGCTTAGGCTGAGAGAGAGTGGCAGGGTTGCCAACTCTGGATCTGGAAATGCCTGGGGATCCGAGGGTGAAGCCTGGGAAGGTGGGGTTTAGGGAGGGGAGAGGCCTTGGTAGGATCTAATCCCACGCGGTCCAGCTTTAGGGTGGCCAGGTCCTCCATAAAGGATGGGGTGCGCGTAGGGTTGCCAAGTCCTTGCTGCATGTAGAGTGGGGGACTCCAGCGCTGCTTCGGGAGTCCGTGCGGGCGAAGCACGCACGCGCCACAATTACGTCACCCGGAAGTGACACAACCATGTCGGGCACACCGGGGGCGGGGCCACAATCAACCAAGGGGAAACCATAGAGTTTTCCCTCGGATGACCGCGGCCCCGCCCCCAATGCACCTGACGCGACTGAGTCACTTCCGGGTGACGTGCTGACGCTGGGCACGTCGTGTGCTTTGGGGGTGGGGTTCCCTCCAGGGCCCGATCCACCGCCGGCGGGTAACGGGCCTCTCGGGCGGGGATTTCCCCGCCCCCGGGGGGACTTGGCAAGCCTAGGTGCGTGGGGGTGTGTGTGTAGGCCGGCAGGGCTCTTTTTGTAGCAGGGACTCCTTTGCATATTAGGCGACACACCCCTAATGTAGCCAATCCTCCAAGAGCTTACAGAACTCTTCTTACAGGGGCTACTGTAAGCTCTTGGAGGATCGGGTACATTAGGGGTGTGTCGCCTAATATGCAAAGGAGTTCTTGCTACAAAAAGAGCCAGATCCAGGTTGGGAAGCTCCTGGAGATTTGGGGGTGGAGCTTGGGGAGGACAGGGACCTCAGTGGGGGTATATTGCCATAGAGTCCACCCTCCAAAGCATCCATTTTTCTCCAGGGGAACTGATCTCTGAAGTCTGGAGATGAGCTGTAATTCCAGGGGATCCCCAGGCCCCGCCTGGAGGCTGGCATCCCTATCCACCTTCCAAAGCAGCCATTGTCTCCAGGAGAAGTGGAATAAGTGTTCTAAATAAATACGTAATAAATAAACCAGTGATTTACATAGCCTGGAGATCAGCCGCAATTCTGGAAGATCTCCAGGCCCCACCTGGAGGCTGGCAACCCTGGGACTGGCCCAAGGTTACCCAGCAAGTTTCCATGACGGGGAATCAAGGAATGGAAGGAGAAAGCTTACTTTTTCACGGGCAGCTAGCTTTCCACTTGCACCTACAGCAGTCGGTAATTCGAAAAGGGGAAACCGGAGGGGCTAGGGTTGCCATCTTTGGGTTGGGAAAGACCTGGAGATTTGGGGGCTGGGGGCTGGGGAGGAGGGGTTTGAGGAGGAGAGGTGGCTCAACAGGGTACAGTGACATAGAGTCCACCCGTCAAAGCAGCCATTTTCTCCAGGGGAACTGCATTTTGGTTGTCAGGAGATGAATTGTAATAGCGGGAGATCTCCAGGTGGCACCTGGAGGGTGGCAACTGTATGGAGAGAGCAGGAAGACGTAGTTTCTGGCCTGTGTTGCCTTTATGAGGCATTCAGCTGGAGGAATGGCAAGCATTAGCAGCGTCTTTCTTAAAAATAGCCCTGGGGAGCCAATTATCAGCAGGA